TTACATTAGGAGGATATGATTTTAATATAAAGTATAAAGCCGGTAAATATAATGTTGTTCCTGATTGCCTTTCGAGATTACCACAAGAATGTCGTGATGAAACTATTGAAAATGTAACCATTATAAGTGAATATGAGGATTTACCTATTAACTTTGATCAAATTCGTGATGAAACTTTGAAAGATACGGAATTAAAACAAGTCATAAATGATATTAATAACAACAGACCTATAATGAATAATATTTATAAAAACATTGAATTAGAATTAAGTATAATTAAAGATTGTCTTTACAAAAGCAATAAAATCATAATTCCGTCTTCTATGAGAAAAACTATACTACAGTCATTACATGAAGGTCACTTGGGAGCAGGAAAAATCAAATCCTTAGCCAAAGATTACATGTGGTGGCCTAGTATAAATAATGATATCGTTATGGAAGTGAAAAGTTGTGACGATTGTAATATATATCACGATAATCCTATAAAGATACAAAAACCATGGGTTTCGGCAACCAAACCGTTTGAAAGGATACATATAGATTATGCGGGTCCGTTCTTCACAAAAAATTGGTTGATAATAGTCGATGCCTACAGCAAATTTCCAATTATTATTCCTGTTAAAAATATTACGACTGATGTTACTTTAAAAGAAATCTTTAAAACTATTTCGCTATATGGAATACCTGAAACTATAGTTACTGATAACGGCACTAACTTTACGAGTAACGATTTTGAAAAATTTTGCAACAATTTTGGTATTAAACATGTGCTTACATCTGCTTATCACCAGCAATCCAATGGCCAGGTTGAACGCATGGTTAGAACGTTCAAAACACATATGAAAAGGAATATTAAAATAGACCCAGATATCGCACTTAGCAAATTTTTACTTAATTACAGAAATACGCGTAATGATACTACAGGAGTTACACCATCACAGAGAATGTTTAATCGAGATATTAGAGTTAAACGGGACTTATTAAAACCGATGGAGGAGAAGGATAAACGTTACTTTACCACGAAATAGAACTTTTAACGTAGGAGATTTTGTTTGGTATAAATTACAAGGTGATGATAAATGGTGCAAAGGTATTATCACACATAAAGAAAGTGATATGATGTTCCAAATTAAGACTGAGAAAGGTATTTTGAGGAGACATTTAGATCAAATAAGAATTAGAAACTGTTTTAACACAATTATTAACTATGACTCTAAGGATTCTTTTAAGGAGGGAAGTATGGACAAAAATATAAAAATTACTGATAATAACGATATAACACCTATCTCTAGACCTGTGCGAATTAAAAAAAAACCTGCTTATTTAAAAGACTATGTAACTTAAAATATAAAATAAATATTAAATTGTATAAACTAAATTAAAAATTAAAACGCTCATATTAAAACACAAAAAATTAAAACGCTAAAAATATAACAATCTTATTGATTTATCATTCTTCATTTATTCTTATGATGAACTATTATTTCTTATTCGCAACTTATTTATGATAATAACAATTTTGGAAAAATGATAATAACAATTGAGTACTATCAAACAAGCTATGATTAATGGAGACAATTTACGATATGGATATCAAGCTTGTGATTAAACAAACCAACGTGCAAAATCGAATTGATCAAACCAACGATTGGGACAAGCCAACGTTATGATGATTTGTGATACAACTTGATTACCAAAAAGCTAAACCACTTGGACAACAAACTCTCTGTGTCTTCTCCGATGAAATTATCAGAAGAGGGAGAATGTTGCGAATTCAAATTGTGAATTCAAATCTAACCTTTTATTTTTATATTACATTTTATGAATTCAAATTTATCTTTTCAATTTAACTTTTTATTTTTGTAATTCAACTTATATTACTTATTATTTTTAGTAACCTTACTTTTTGTTTTTATATATATTCTAATTTATATTTTAGAAAATGTATATATACCTTAAGAAAAGAAAAAGAAATTAGTTAATAAAATATATTTTTTATTTAATAAAGTTAATAAAACATATTTATTATTCACCGGCACATATTCATGTTATTCTACAAATACAACTACTCATATTGCTGCCTACTTATTAGACTCCAATATCAAGGACACCATCTCACAAAAAATTAATACGATGAAGGATAAAAGATCTAGGAATTTTACAAAATGGTGATAATCAAGCCATCTTAAGTTAGCGTTCATTATTATTTACGATTAATTAAAAACATAGATTAATTAAAAACATAAAAGAAAATGATTAATCGATTAACCAGAAAACCACTCTGCCAAAGAAAGTGAAAACGAAACAACATTTCAAGAATGAATCTAAATATTATCAAATTTAATAATATGCATGAATATATTTTATATATGTTATTATATTATTTATATATATATACATATATACATATACATAATAAAGTCACGATATTCGACCAGTCAAATATCGACTAAAATGGTATTTGAACTCAAATACCCAACCATAGGTGTATTGATATAACAGTATTACCCTTTTGATTTTCGCTTTTTATTTCCAACACATATTCTGATAATAAGGTACCATTAACACATTTGTATAATAAAAATTTATAATACACGCATAATTTATTATCCTCATTTAAATTATAGCTCATCAAAACAAAAAAACACATCACTCAAATAAGATATTGTTTTTTTTATTTTCTCTTAGGGTGTTCGTCCAATCCAAACTCCATTTCGTAAATTTCTATATTAAATAAAAATAAATTTTTGACTTTGTTTATGTCTCTTGATTGTAATTTTGATAAATAATAGAAGGAAGAAGTAAAATCATGGCTAAATCAATTTTTATTTCCCCTTTTTGGGATTGGTGATTAAAGATTTATTTTATGAAAATTTGGTTATCCCTAAATAAAAAAATCGAGTTTGAATAGTAACTGTTGATTCCTCCTCCAAAATTTGAACGTTTATTCATCTCTGATAAAGATAATTAGGTCTATAATAGACGATTAACTAAGATCGACCCACTGCAGGTCGCGGTGATCTCTGGGCCACCACCAAATTAAAAGATAGATAAAAAATTGACCCTCAGAGTTTGGTGATTCTCTGACCTGACGTCCTATAAATTCTTTTGCTCTTTTGACGTTTTTTTAAAATAATATTAAGATTATTTGCCTATGACTAAGGTCACGCCATTACCGTGCCTGAATTCAGTTCCAGTTCATGCGTAACGTGTGAAAGTAAAATTGAGAACTGGCACTATTAAGATCACACTATTAAGAAGTATTTCTTTTTTTATACAAATAAAAAACTAATAAGTTAATTTTATTGAACAAAATTAAAATAATTGTTGATCTATATATATTTAACCATCTATATTAATACAAAATGATATTTAAGGGGTATATATAACAATATTAATTTATAAAAATTAATCACCACATAAATGTTATTTATCTCTATTTAGTATTAATGCAATAGTAAACCTATTATTAACGATAGCCAATGAAATAAATGATAATAACAAGGCTTACTAATTATTTACGTTATTACAGAATGTTGAGATTTATCAATACCTCAACATTTTCAAAATTTTTATAGTCAAAACAATCAGTAACCTTTTTTAAAATTGTTTCCTATATATATAATATTTTTTAATTATGTAATTTAACTTCTAATATTATGCAATTATATTGACCTCCATAATATAATATTAAATGTAGAAAAGTTATTATAATATAATATACAAATAACGTAACCTTTAAAATATATAACGTAACCTTTAAAATATTATAAGATATTCAAATATAACAAAAATTAAATTTGTTTTTAATTATTGCCCAATGCATTCTAATTTGTAAATAATAGTTTTTTAGCCAGCATATCGATATATTTAATTATATAAAATATGCTACTATTTCTGTGAATTATGTCATAATATTAAGAAACCTAACTTTATGATGATAAGTTATTTTGATCAGTTTTAATTTATTTAAATTAGGCATTATAAGGTGCAATTTATACAACTAAAATTTAATTTAGATTATCACATAATTGATTAGATTAGATTTACAAATTTTTTCAAAAAAAATTGATAACGAGATTTTAATCATTGTTTGTTCGCAAAATTTGGATTTAAAATTAAAATTATACATATTTTAATTTAATTTAATTGTAATCCAATTAAATTTATATATATTATATTACAATTAATTATATTCTTTACTTTATGTTTATTGATTTTGTATCTCCCCATTATTACATCTAATATTCTATAAATATAAAGATGAGCTCTTGAAATGAAACTAAATATCTCTTTCAATTAGCATTACAAATATTAGAGTTTGTAATTAAAATTACCTTGAAGTTAAGTTATATAACATTAATGTTGCCATATTTTAATATTAATAAATTTTAAGTTCATGTCACGAAAATTTTTATTATTGATTAAATTTCTTCAAATACATTAGGCCTTTTATATTAAAATGTCATAACCCATCTATCTGATTCTGATATGTGAGACAGAAATCTCGTATATCAAGATCATACTTTACACTAGTTCTGAATATTTTTTATTAAATGTCCAGTTCTTAGAAAAAAAAGAGATTTTTGATTCTTTTGACACCGTTATGATGTTCTAGATCCAGTTCTAAACTGTCAAAGCAAGTAAAAAATAATAATAAATAAACTAATCCTGTTTCCTATTTCCGGAAAATCGAAAATGGGTTCTGATTCTCAGATATTTAAAAAAAAGGAGTTAGGTAATATTTTTCTCATTTCCGGTTCCGAACTCTCCTGAAAAATCTTTTTTGAATTGAAAAATAAATAATTTGATTTAAAAAAAATATATTAATCTTTTTGGTTTATTGTAATGTTTTTACTTTGTTGATTCTCATTTTGGATTTTTTTTCTGTAGGGGGGGGGGGGGGTCTGTGCCTTGCACGTACATAAAATAATACTTTTTTTATAAAAAATATTCTATATTTATCATGTGATATTTAAAACAAATTTTTATTTACCTAGGGTGTTGGAACAACGGTGTCTCGCGCCATTGTTGTCAATGCAGCTCAATTAGCAACTTATTCTCAAGCCAAACAACTCTTAATACAAAGTTTTTTTTTTTTAAAAAAGGATTAAAACATAATGATTTAAAGATATAGAGTGTAAGTTAAATGTCTGATAGTAGCCCCTAAATTCAATCCAAAAATAATTTTCTAAGATTTTAAGGGGGGGGGGGGGGTTGAATCAGTGAATCCCCAATATTACCACTCTGAGTTCCATTGTCGAGGGTTTAAAGAATTTTTTTTATAGATTCTAAGAATATATGTATATGTATATATATATAATTTTCTTCTACACTTTATAGATGGTAAATATTTTGGCGATAATATAACAACCCATTTTGTCGCCAGCATGATAAGCGGCCTCGCCACTACACTTGCGTCCATGCCGATCGATATGGCTAAAACTAGGTATGGTTTATTATGATTATACTATTTCTTAAAATTTACACTTTTATAAAACTATTGGCCATATTTGGATGTTTTTTTTTTTTTTAGTAAGTAATAAAAATTGTTTTATCTTGAGCTTTTTAAGATTAATGATATGGGTTAATCTGAGACGACACTAAAAAAAAATCAGCTGTAAATGAAAATTATTAGACGCTTGGCGTCGTGGCAGTTTTTATTGGCATTCTATATTGAGGCCTTGATTCCCAGCGTTAACATGAAAAAATAAAATGGCTGAAATGTTAAACCCAAGCTAAGCACGTCTCATTGTCGAAAAAAAAATCTTCTTTTTTTTTAAAAAAAAATGGCGAATAATTTTTAAATTTTTAAAACGATATTATATATAACAATTAATATCATGGTTTAAAGCTGGACTGTTAGAGACAGCAATGATTGGGATAAAGCCCGCGGAAAAAAAAACTAAAGAATTATAATTCGCGAAAGAAAAAAAATATATAGAAATAAAAGACTTCGTAAAATAAATCTTGTCCTTATATTATAGATCTTAGACCGCCCAGAGTAGTGTTGTTAGACGGCCTGATTTGAGCCGATTTTTAAAAGCAGCTAACTCTATTATTCAGAAAAATATAATGCTAGCCTGAATATTTTGCTCATAGATGGTACCAAGGTTTGGAGAACTATTAGTGAAATCTCAAAGAATGGAATGGGCAATATTTTTCTGGCTAAAATATTGAGTTCGCCGTTTTTAAAAATCGGCACAAATCTAGCCGTTTAACAACACTAGGGCCTATATTTGAAAAAAAATCGGGCCTAGCAGGGTTGAGCTTGTTTTGAAATAAAAATTGATATATTTGAAAAAAATTATTTACGAGAAATGGCCGCATATTTTTTTTTTTATTTGTAGACTGATCAAAAATGTCGATTATATTTAGCTTAAATAATAAAATAAAAATGCAAAACTATAATTGAAAGCGAAGAATTAATTTCTATATTAAAATAAATTCGGGCCGGGCTTTTTGGGAGGGCTGGGCCATATAAAAATATATAAAATAATGGTTTTCGTCACTGCTTTGTGTCAAGATGGAATTCATAAATATAAATCAGGATTAGGATGCAGCGAATTTAATATTTTTATTTTTAAAATAATTTAAAAATGCCAAAATTTTTGCCATATGACCCCGGTCTTCCGAGCCCTGACAAATTGTTAAAATATATTAGAAGAAGTCTGAATTTGGAAGAAAAAAAATTTATATTTTAAAGGAAATTTTGACTACTTTCGACAAATTTTAAGTCGATAAAGAAAATAGATTATCACATAGCCTAATGGTAGGCCTTTAAAGTTATATAATGTTGAATATTGTTAATACCGGAAATGGTGGTTCAGCTCAACTTTAGGAGAAGTTAATCATTGGTCTATTGCAAATATTCTTAATAAATATTTGATATTAATCAATAATTGTAATATAAGTCAAAAACTATCAAATATTTTATTTTTAATATTTAAAAGAATAATTATTTATGATGTGGAAAAGAATATTTTGGGATGAGAAGGGGACTTTGTTTGATTTCTTTGATGAATTGAATTTCTCAAAAAAACTAAAAAAATACAAATCAATTTTTTATAATTTATTGGACAAAATTTTATTTATATTAAATGAGTATTTAGGTATTTTATATTTGATTCTCATAATGACACTGAGGGTAACTTTCTGCTAACCTTTTGATAATGGTTGCATAGGATGATAGGAAAAAATACTATTTCGCTTTGATCAAAATCAAGTTCATGATGATATGAATTTTATTCATAATATTGAGTACTACACCACCAGAAAAAAACAAACATTTTTTCTAATTTTAAGAAAACCAATCATTTTAGTTTTAAAACAAAATATGTTCTAAATCTGCAAAATTTATTAAAACTAACTTTTATATCAATATGAGTTTCTTTGAAATTATATGATATTCCTTTTATGATTGATTGCGTAGAATGAAGTATTTTCTTCAATTGGTTCTCTCTTTTAACCTTTATGTTGATTGATATAAAACCGTTTGTACTAGGAATCGTACGCCTCCTTTTATCGGATACATGGAATTTTCCAGATAATATCTAAAATACAATCTTGAAAAACGTTTCCAGTCTTTGTTATATTTGGATTGGATAAAACACCCATTTTCTTGACCAATTTTATTGCTATCCTAGAAAATTCTTTTTGTTTTTAAGGTCCAAGAATTTGGTAAAACCGTCAATATCTGAATTTATTTTCACTTTCGAGGATGTGGTTGTTTCAAATTTATCTATTCAATTGCTTAATGATTTCACATAAATTTTCAAAAAATTTTTAAAACATATTTCTTAATTTTTTTTTATGTCAGGTAAATGCAAATTTTATCGTTAAATGATTTATTCTGTATTAATCATCCAAGGAAGTTTTAGTTATTTTAACGAAGAGAGAAATTCAATTGGTCAAATAAATTAACCAAAGTTCCCTCACCCCTAATATAAAAAAAAATACTTTTTTTTCAGATCATAAATAGCTAATTTTTTAAATATTTACGATTAATATCAATATCAAATATTAAAAATATTAGCACTAGATTAATGACCGAAATGCCACATCTCCTAAACTTGAGCTTAACATTTATTCATTAATCCTATATCTGTTTGTTACGTAAAAAAAAATGTCCGATTTGATTTTATAATCATTTCCGGTTTTTGACATAAATTTTTTTAAAAACTAGTTAGCAAGCTCGATCCAAATTTTTTTTAGATATTTTGTCCGCCCAATCCGGTTCAAAGTTATTTTAAGAGTTTGGGTTAGTAGGGAGATGAGAGATTTACGCCAAATTGCCAATTCGCAAGAAATAAAAGCTATATTTTTTTCTTATTTATACGCATTTTCCGAGTCGATAGAAAGTTACGAAGGAGAAATATATTAACGAAGTTAATTTTTCGCCCAATATTTTTAATTTGAAGATTCGATGGAGGTATTAATAAAATTTTTTTATAATTTTTATTGTTTTGTTTAGATTCAAATATAATCGATTTACTTGTACGCAAAGCAGCCAAATTTAATGCAATCCTAGACTGTGCAATTCTCTTAATCATTTCTTTTTTTTATAATGTTTACCTAGGTCTACGCAATTACATGTCTATAGAACAAGGATGCCAATTCCATTTGCTAATACATTCATGAAAAACAAATTATTTGTCTGGGAGGGAAATAAATCCGAAATAAAAAAATAAACTATTTTCTGAATGAAAGTTTATAACCCTAAAGATATTTACATGATATAGACAAGAATACAAAAAAAAAACTTATGATAATGATTTAATTGCAGATAAAAAGGAAGATGATGATGCTAAGATGGAGCTATATACAGTAGATGGGAATCTAATTGGCATATATTATCGAACTCATAAAATTCAATATATTTTTTTTTCAAAATATCCTTAAGTTATATGTGTGGACGCAACGTTTTTGTTAAATAATGTCAGTCTTCATTTTAGTATCAATTGATGGAAACAATCGGTCAAATATTATATGTGTATGGGTTGTCTAATCCGAATCATTCGATGTAGCATCACAAATGCTTCAAATTTTTTTTTTTTTTAAAACTTAATCCAGCTTGGACAGTTATAAAAAAATGTCTATTGATAAATATAGATGGATTTTTAAAATAATGTTTATGCCATCTTTGATGACATAATTTTTCACTATAAAGATAACTATAATTTTTTCTCCTTTCCATAAATACGTGTCTGCATGGCAATTGCATATTTTTTTTTAAAAAAAAGGGGCAATCACAATTATACATATCTGATTGGCAAACAAGGTTACAATTATCTTCAACATTATATTATTAATGTTTTAACTCCTTTTGAATGCATATTCCTTTAACAATTTCCTATAATTGGCTAATGTTTGATCTCCCTCATTTATAAACGAGATTTTAATTTTTTTTTTCCATTAAATTATTGTGCTCCCTTTCAGCACTTAGCATCCTATTCTTAATTGACATAATTAAATCGGTAAGCATATTTGGAAGGGTAGAGTATTTGGTTATTTTTAAATATTTGTTAATGCCCTCTACCCTGTTATTTGTAAATTGTTAAAAGTTAAAATGATATTTTTTCCAAGCATCGGACCATTCATATTTGATTTGATGCCAGCGAGAAAAAATATTTATTTAATGATTCTAGATTTAAATTAATTAATTTGTGATAATTTTCAAAATATATGTCAAAAGACTGTGCATCTAGCATGCTATGCAACAGATGTTTCGCATTATTAATCATATCCTTAGGTATATTTCGTGGGTAACTTCCCTATCCCAAGCTCTGGTCACATGCTTCCTACATATTCCAATTGAACATAGGGGAATGCGCCAATGTTAGCTCTACTGCCAGCTAATCTTTTATCACTAACAATGACTTTTATATCTGTCCAAACTGGATTAAGTTTTTTTAAGTGATGCTAAATCAAATGATTCAGATTTGACAATCCATACACAAATAATATGTGATCGATTATTTCCATCAATCGCTATTAAAATGAACACAGGAATACGCCTATTATTTAACCGATACGGTTGCATCCACACATATAATTTCAGGATATTTTGAAAAAATATATTGCATTTGATGAGTTCGATAATATATGCCAATTAGATTTCCATCTACTGTATATAACTTCATATTAGCATCACCATCTTCCTTGACTTTATCTCTCATTGCAAATAAATCATTATCATAATTTTTTTTTGTAGGGTTAACACTTTCCTTCAAAAAATATTTTATTTTGGATTTATTTCCTCCTTATAGATTCAACTACAAATTTATACTGTGCTTCATTAAGCTTTATTTGTCTGGGTGATAATTGAATTTTCATCTAAAATTAGATATTATTTTTATAATCAAAAAATACATTTCATTTGTTTAAAAAAACATTATTTCATACTTTTATCTTATATATTCTATCAAAATTATCGAAATATAATTAATCTACCCTAGAACCCTATTCATATCAATCACTAAGTTAAAATATATTTATCTTAAATATAAAAACTAAATGCTTTACCATATGGATGATTGTGATTTTCATGCATATTCTTGACAAATAATTTGTTTTTCATGAATCTAAAGCAAATGATTTGTTCATGTTCTATAGAGATGTAATTGCGTAGACCTGAGGAATTTGTATGGTACATTCCATCAAATATACAAAGGAATTTTATATTTCAATATTTAAATTTTTTTCAAAAAAAGTATATTTAATTAAAATTTTTATAACGGTTTATAGCATCTTGTAAATAGGATAAAAACATATCTTTTTCTTTCATATCTAAATAAATATTATATTAAAATTTAGGTACATTATAAAAAAAGAAGAAATGATTTAGTAAATTGCACAGCGTATAAGTAGTACATTTTGGCTGCTTTGCATACAAGTAAATTGATATATTTAAATCTAAATCTTAAAAAAGTAAAATTATAAAAATATTACATGGTAAAATAATTTTTTTTAACTTCCGTCAATTCTTCAAATTAAAAATTATTGGCTGAAAATTAACTTCGTTAATATATTTCTCCTTCCTAACTTTTTATCGGCTCGGAAACTGCGTTAATTGATTTTACAATAGTAACACATGGGGGCCCTATTCAAATTTTTGAAACTTTACTAATTAAAGATTAATTTAAAAAAGATTGTTTAGTTGGGAAGAAACTAATTAACTTTCTTGAGATTTTTAAAATATCGCCAAATGGGCGTCCGGACTAGAAAATATATAAACATAAAAAAAACCTTCTTTTCTTTACAAATATTTTAAACTTTCTTTCTATTTTTGCAGAATACAAAACATGAAAGTGATTAATGGAATTCCCGAATACAAAGGAGCTATAGTTAGTTTTTGATTTTTTTAGATTTATCCATTTTTTTGGTTTATTTTTTGAATATTCAAAAATAGTTAAGAAAGAAAAGTGTTGTGATTTCGTATTTTTACATTATGTATATAATTTTATATAGCAAATGTCAATTAACTAATGCATGAATGTCGATTCATAGATTATATATTGTTTAGTTATATAATATCTTCTAATATTATGTTATACATGTCAAGCTTCAATTGGTTTCATTCATTTTACGTTTGTGGAAAATCAGAAAGACTTTTTTAAGATTTTTTTGTCATTATTTGTTTTCGGATACAATAAAATATTTAGTTATTAAATTTTTCAACCTAGATTTTTTTGATTGCTATAATTGTTTATATTTTTATTTTAGGATGTAATGAGCAAAGTGATCAAAAATGAAGGGTTATTTAGTTTGTGGAAAGGGTTTACTCCTTATTACGCCCGCGTGGGTCCTCATACCGTTTTGATGTTCGTATTCATGGAACAATTTAATCGAATGTACGCTAAATACATACTCAAGGATGATAGGAAAGTTGCCTCACTCTAAAAACAACACATTATATACTCTTCCCTAAATGCTGTTTAATAAACAATTTTTTTTATAAGGCTAAATAGTCAATTATTAATAATCTCATTTATATGATTTTAATATTATACCAAATCAACATATATATTTTTTTAGAGATATTTTGTTTTGCATTTGATAATTACTACAAAATTTCATGTATTTTAAATGATGTTTTGTGATTTTTTAAAAAAATATATATTAAATAAACCATACATCATTTGACTAATTTATGTAAAATCGATATTTTTTTTTTATTAATTTAGAAAATTTGAAAAATTATAAGGTATTTAAATAATTTGTTTTGCATTGATAATTACTACAAAACTTTATGTATTTTAAATGTTTTGTGATTTTTTTAAAAAAAATATATTAATTAACCATACATCATTTGACTAATCTATGTATAAACGACATTTTTTTTATTAATTAATTTAGAAAATTTGAAAAATTACAAGTTATTTTATTATGTAAAATATTTTTTTTTTCCTTGTTTTTTTTAACAAAAATATATAAAATATAAATGCAAATAAGTGTAATTTTTCATTGAATATTATTATTTCAAAGTCATAACTTCTCTTATATATAATTTATACAATTCTAAATAAAGAAGAAAAAAAATATAATAAAAATGACGGATTTTTTTGTTTATAAACATTTTACATTTTTGATAATGAATATAAATATTATTTTTATATATATATTTTCAAGCGACATTACATTTTTATTCAAAGTTAAGGATATTTTTGTTTGCGATAAATTAGTAATTTATAAAGAAATATTATTAGTATGATAAACGGCTCGTTCCTATTTTTTTAAAAATGGCCAACCCCAATATTTTATCCGGAAAAATATTGAGCAAGGCCTGAAGATTTTGATCTGCCATGGCACAAATGTTCGGACATCTATCCGCAAAATCTCGAGGCAATAATGTTTTTTGGCTAAAATATTGAGTTTGCCATTTTTAAGAAATCGGTTTCAAATCGAGTCGTTTAGAAAAAAAAACAATAGATAAGTTATATTATTTATAATAAGCACATTCATGATTAAAGAACTTGAAAAACGGTTAAATTATGGTACACATATTTTTATCATGAGAAAGAAAAATAATCATTGCACATTAATCATTCCCAGAATTTTCATGATCCTGTAGTCGATAAAACTCGCAAATAGCGTCGAAAGAACGTGGTGGTCAGAAAATAAATCGTCTAGTCTATTCGCAACATTGACATCGCTATTCGCGCCACGACCAATTTTTTTAAAAATAGCTGGAATCGTATTTGATTCCTCGTATCTCCCTCTCGTGGAATCGTGCGCTCGCAATAGCCTATCCTTTTCCGTTTGAATTTTATGTCTGCAAGACAAGTATAGGAAAGACGTGGAAATGGAATCGGATAAAACACTTCTGGCTAAATCGGACGCACAATTTTCGATCAATTTTATATTGTTGTTCGTGTCGAGGTCCGTTTCCATCAATTTTCCTCGGTAGCTTCTAAACGTGGCTCTATAGATAGCTTCATTGACCATAGTTCTGGAGAGGTGACAGGCGAAGAGGGTCAATCGAAACGCGTTTGGTAACCTTTTCGGGAATGTTTCTGTGGGTTCGCCCGAGTACAATGAAAGTTCCTTGTAAATAATTTCGTGAAACCTGTTGAGCTCTGACAAAGTATCGTTCTGATTGGTCCCATTTATCGCGTGTTTAGTTATAACGTTGATTTCGTTTAAGGTTCGTAACAGCTTGGGCATAAATTTGTCCCTTGGCTTCAATTCTCTCAAATTGACGTATAAGTGATATAAATTTGGGAGCTTATTGTTGGGTTTTAGCGAATTTCGAATATCGTCCAAAGATGGATTTCCTTTGAAGAGGATTAAAAAAACGTCTAAACTTACCATAAACTCTAATAACCCGATAATTATTTCTTCCTTGAGTTGTTTACTTTGATCAAAATTTTCGTTTAATTTGCAATGGTAATGCTTATCGTCGGCTTTGCTCAAGGAATAATAATGTTTAAAATGGACGCCCAATTTATCGCATTTGTCCTGCAAATATTGGCAAAAATTACCCAACTCATTTAACGTCGTGCCAGGTGAAGCACACGCTTCGTTTTTCACAAGCGGCACAGTATACTCATCGCAATGCGCAGATATAGCATTGTCAAGGATAGCGTTTCTATTTTCCAGTTTGTCGTACTCGGGCTCACCTTTACATAATTCTTTTTGCGGGAAAGGCAAGGGTATCTTACATTTTTTGAAATTAAAGGAATTGATTTTGACGTTGGAAGATGGTGAGTTGAGCGGTATGTCGTTGTATTGATGATTGCAAGTAGTCCTCAAGATTTCTTCGGCTTCCTTGAGTTTAGCGATTAGGGTATCTCGCTTTTCGGAAGATATTTGAATGCTGTTTTCAGAATGGGCTGATGTTTCCACGGAGGAATGCTTATCATTCGTATAAATATGCCCACCATTTTCGAACTGATGTTCGTTGGAAAATAATTTGTTCTTTTTCTGGTAGGGCAAGAGGGAGATATCTATTATTAAACCCCTGATCTTGGTTAGGGTCATAGAGGAAGAATTCCAATAAAACTTGGCACGATTTCGCGTATCATCGTAGACCAGTTCGCATCTACGGAGAGCGCCTTGGAGAGCCTCTATCCGCGAATTAGCATCGCTCAAAGATTGAGCCAGTTGAGAAACCTTATGATCATCCTCCTTATCCAAATCCCCTGATTTTTTGAAAGTGACAAAATCTTCCGTGTTAGGAGTTTTAGGGGCAGCATCAATTTCGTTGGATAATAAAAGGAGCCGTTCATTTAGGCCTTCGTTCTCCTTTTCCCTAGCCATCAAAGTTGCAGACAGTTCGTTTAATGAAGCCTTGGTGCGCTCGAAGTCTTCCTTGAGTTTCTTGTATTTGTGTTTCTCCTTGGAAAGTTCTTTCTTATTTGTCTTAGTGTCTTCAGTCTTGCCATTGGTCACGTGTTCCCCGGAATTGCCTAATTTACATAAAAAAAATTGGTAACTATACATATTTTTAAAATCTATATTGCTTCCACCCCTCCCACACCCTTCGTTCATTTAGACATTTATACCGACCGTCGTATAATTATTGAAACCTTTAATCAGTTTAGTCGAATCTTGATCCTTCATTTGATCTTTCAGAATTTTTATTTGAAGGGTATTGAAATCGGCGAGTTCGTTTACTTCCAGCATTTTAAATTTGTAATACTTGACTTCTTCTTGAAGTTTCTCGATCAGCTGTTTATCATTCTGATGAATATAAATTAGGTTTACGTTTTAAAAAATGAATGAATAAGATAGGAAGAGGTTAAATTACTAGGTGATGGTTATCGAATCCATTTTGCATTTCGGAGGGTGTAATAGTTTCATCTTGTAATAAATCGTTGTTGCTCTTTCCTTGATTGTTAATCCGATTTTTAAAGTTTTTCAATATAGAACTAAAGGGTTCTTTAGAATTGGCGTGTATCAAATCCTGATTTACGTGGGACAGGAAGTTTATAGATGACGTCTTTGAAACTTTTCCAATATTTTCGAAGTCTTTTATTGGAAAAAAAAATGATGAAACAATTTATAATGGCCATAACTGGGAAGCCCGCCTAGCAGATAGAAAAAGTTTCCAGACTGGCATGGTTAACTTATTATTACACACCAGGCCTCACAACTTGTACCGGGCCGGGCAATATATTACGGACCGAGCCCGAAAAAAGTTCGCAGGATAACTAATGACTAGAGATAGCAATTGATATATTTAGTCAGGCGAAATATTTAGTAAAAATCTACGCTTAAAAGTTGCACCTATTTCCTCTATATGAGGAATTATGATTGCGTAAAATTTTTTTTATCATCATGGCATCTCTGGTTAGGGTTCGCAAGATAGGTTCGATGATTGGATGAGTTTTTTCGTCTAAAACCATATAAACGGGGTTAGATAGGGCTAGGAACCAATATTAAAAAACCCAAGATTAACGAAATATTGTTCTTGGGTTTTAAATATAGATATTGGTTAAAATAGTATTTTCTATTTCTTGTATAATATTGGTGTTGGTTTAAATTCACATTTATTGATTATAAGAATAGAATACCCGCAATTTGAAGTTTTAAAATAAACATGAAAAAAAAATGAAATAGCATTACTGTTAAAAAACGGGGCTGAGAATCAACTCTCAAAATTTTACTAAATCCAAATTCTTTTTTTAAACTAGGAAATTAAGTGATGTGAACAGGCGAGTAGACAGAAATTCTCTACTAACGGGAATGGGAGTGGGGATTTTTTTTATATTGAAATGATTATTATTGGAGCATTAAAAATTTATTAGAACTAATCATAATATACAATTTATTCGAACCAATCATATTTAAAAATATGTTAATTTCTAACACAGATATTAAAATATTAGAAAAATACAGATTATTAAAAACGAATATAATAACGGTTAAAAAAATATTATAGCTATACAAATCGGTATGTAAATCACAATAAAATATAAAATAAAACATTCTATAGATTTTAAAGGTTAGTCAAAATATCGTTCATAAATGAAAATTTAATCATCTTTGCGATTGGTTCAATTTTTTAATAATTTGTTTTGTGTTAGGGTCGGGGATTAGATCTTGACGAGTAAAGCTAGTCTATTCAATCAATATTAAGATGCCATACTTTTGATATTGGTTTTTATTCTCTGTAATGAAGAAAAGGATCGTTTTCAGTATCATCATCATTATCTATAATTACTAACACTAATTGTTCTTTATGATATCAGTATCATCGTCATTATCTATAATTACTAACACTAATTGTGCATTATGATATATTTAAATGATTAGATAATAATAATAATTGATATGTAAAAAAATTTATTCATTCCACAATAAAAATAAACTTATACAATTATACACCAATATTGATATTACAGTATAAAAAAGTAAGTATTTGTACAAAAGAAATATGGATGTAAAAAGTTTAAGCAATTAAAAGAAAGTAAATAAAAAATATACCGCGATATAATGATCCATGAAAAAAAAACAAATATTTATATATATTTATCTATTTTTAATATTAGTATTGGTTTATATTGTATTTAATATATCAAACCAATATATTTCGGTAATTGTATTGATTTTAATATTTAATTTATATTGGTATATATTGGTATTGTAAATCAAGAATATATTGGTATTAGTCGCACGCCTAGGTTAGAATAAGGTTAACATATGTGTTAGCGTTACTTTTATAAATGTATTTATTTTTTTTTAAAAAAAAAGGAACGTGCGATCGTAGATTTTTACCTAACATCACCTGACTAAATCAATTATATAAAATTTGCCTAGGACTGATGCATCTATTTAATGTGTATCATATCATTATAAATCAGCTGGTTACACTCCATTTTTAGTTCCCCGTGTAAAATAGTTTATACTAAAATTTAACATAAAAACAAAATTCCGTCACGGTAATACCAAAATGGCGTGCTAACTTAGTTTATTTCTATTCAAAAAACGCTTCAAATCTCATTTTAAGGAATAAATTGTCAGTCAAGATTGGCCTAAATATAACAATTCCTATCTCTTAGTCACGGCCATTTACAAAAAAAAAATCGCAAATGATTTGAAAAATTTTTTAAAAAAATTTAAATGCCATTTTACCTTTTGAAGGATCCGTAGACTCATTGTTCATTCCGTTATTAATGCTCTTGATTTCTTTCCTCAAATCTTCGTTCTCACTTTTAGTTCTGTATAAACGAGATCTAGTTCTTTCAAGCTGAGCTTGTAGATATTCCACCTTGCAAAAAAAAGGATAGATGATTGAATTTTAAAAAGGAACAAAAAAAATTTACTTCCGCTTTCAATTTATCAGCTTGCATAGCCGATTCCGCATTCATCCGAATTTAATTTTTTATTTTTATGATAAGGTGATGTTCGAATGTTAGGCCAATAGGATTAGTGGGAGAAGGTATCCCGCGAAATATTTTACCCAATTATAAATTTCTTTTTGAAAATTTGAAATGTGAGTATATAGTTAATATTCGAATTCCCAAATTTTCTGAAGAATAATTTTTTTTTCTTCCTTTTTCAAATGGTGATAAAGAAAAATAAAATGAGTTAATTAAGTGATAGAAAAGCTAATAGATAAAAAAAAAATTATATTTATGGGCCAAATGGAAGATAAAATAATTAAGAAAATGATATTAATTTATTTTTCCTTCCCTTATCGAATCGAAATGATGGGATAAAATGATATGTGAGTGGTTGTTAAATATATATATTTTTTTGAATTTAAAATAATTGTATTTTTTTTTTGTAACAAATTATCACAATTTCTTTTTTCCTCTCTCTCTCACTCTAAATTCAATGCTATTCTCGTAAAAAAAAATATATATATTATAATAAAAAATAATTATATTACTATAATAAATAATTATTTCGAAGGCCTTCGTTGTTTATATTAATAAAAAAATATAATACCCTACAGTTACCGTTTTGCAAAACATTCATATTATAAGGTAATAAAAAATTTTTTTTTGATATTTATATTTACACATTATAATTTTTTTTTTCTTTCAAGAAGTGAGAGTGAATAATAAATACAGTGTTGTGCAGATTTAATTCAAAATATTTCCATATTTATTAATTTATTTGAAAATAAAATTAGACTGGTAAAAAATTGTGTAAAAAATAACATACTTTTTACATATATTCTTATCAATTTCAATTTTTTACGAGTTAAATAATTTTATTTACAAACAAAAACACTGTAATTTTAACATAAAAAAAAGCATTGAATTGCAGCTTTAAAAATAATCGAGCTTAAGTTATAGCTGGGTAATGGATAAATGTTGGTTTAATCTTCAGGAGCGTGCCAGAAAAAAAAATCGGTTAACATTGAGGAGTTTTAATTTATATTAGTTTCTATTTGAGCGGCTGGAAATTGGTTTAAACTGCTAAAAATGTAGTAATTACCCAAATATACTCTTAAGTTACTCATGCGGATTGAAATTTTTTTTAAACAAATAGTGAACGGACACATTTCTAATGCAGATCACTAATGTCAACGAATATTTTGCCATCAAACAGGCACGCGCTTCTACCATGGGAGAGGGTAGTTGATGCAGGATCATCCATTGAAATTGAATGGGGGGTTGTAGGAGGAAGTATAGTTTTGCTCATTTTGATACCATAGGGTGTGGGACGGGATAAAGGATAGGAGCTGATAAGGAGGCATATCGTCACGGGGCTTAGAGGGTGTAGAGGCGCCTGCCTACATGTCTCGCCGGTTAGGTTTAAAAATAAATTTGAAAAAATAAAATAAAAACCGGGGTCAGGTTGGGCCCAAATTGTTTTTTACAAAACCCGGACTCTTAGTTTTTCACTAGGCACACACTTGCGTAACCAAAACATATTTCTATAAATTTTCAAAGATTTAACATTTTCGAAAGTTTTTACAACTTTTCGAATTTTTAGCTCATATTTTCAATTTCTTTTTGAGATGATCAACAAAATAGCCAAACTTATTTTTAAAAAAAATACTAGCTAGACCATATAGGACAGCTTTATCTTAAGACATTGTTGCTTTATAAATAAAATTCTTGCCTTCTTATCGTTTTTTTTAAAAAAAGGAAGATGGCCATTTTTATAAAATGGAGGTTCGCTGGCTCTCCCAGAAAATACCATAAAATTGGAAAATGAAATGGGAGATAGAATAGTATAATAATAATTCTCGGCGGACTATGTAATTTTATTTTACTTAATTAATTGCTTAAAACTTATAAATATTTAATTAGGTTAATCAAATTGAAAAATAGGCTTTTTTAAAAAAAAATAAATTAATTTTGATTTAGTCGATCAAATTGAAATAATCGTTATTTATTGTGCATGAAATCTTTTTCAATTATTTATATTTACAAAATAAAATATAAATTTAAAAAAAGATTACTTTTTTAATATCCTTCTCTCCTTTTATCTCGAGTGGCGCATCTTTACAATTGTTTAGAAGTGGCTGACACATCGTTATTTCGGATACACCTTTAATTTCAACTTTTTTCCCGCTTAAATAATATTAGTATTTTTTTAAAAAAACTTATCCATGTAGAAAAAAACATTAAAAACAAAAAATAAATTAATGTTTTTAAGGTTCTGTTAGTTTAACAAAATTTTGAAATAGAAAAATTAAATGAATTTTCTTTATAGGCTGTGTCCAAAAACATTTTTTTAAAAATTCGAAAATTTTCAAAAATTTTGCAAATTTTGATTGAAATCGTATATTTTAAATTTTTGAAATATATAAAATTTTCTAGAATTATGCTCTGGCTGGTCCATAACTTTTGGATATGTTTATAAATTAAAAATAGCTTATTTAATTTTCATTAAGTTTAGAAAGAATTTTTTGATATTTTGGACACACAATTTAATGGTATAAGCGAATTATAAAATGATTGTGATAATGACGTGTCCAAAATATCTAAAAATTAAATTTACAAACTATTGAAACTTTAATGAAAATAAATAAATATGCTTATTTTTATTAATAATAAAATATGTCCAAAATATAATTCATTAAAATTTGCGAAAGTTTTAATCAGGATTTTAGACCCGAATTTGGGTTATTTTAAACTTTATTTAGCGGAAATTTTGATAACAGGAACTTAATCGAGAAACCGTTATGAGGTACGAAACCGTCCCTGGTCCATATTACCCCGGGTTTAATGAGGTTGCCCATAAATCGATCTGGTCTCAAAATGCCCTACCCAAACAGTTTTAAATTTTTGAACCTGAATTCGGGTCCTGAACCTTGGTTTTAATACTTTTCGATATTTTTTAAGAAAAAGATTTTAGACACCCAATGAAAAATCTCTGACATATTTTGGCAGAACGATATGATTGTGATAATGAAAAATTTGTAATGTAGATTATACATTCCTTAAGGATTTTTAATGTTTTCTCTTTTTTTTCATATCTAGTTAAAACGTTAAAATAAATTGAAAAATGGCACGTGTCTGTAATTAATATTGTAGACCATCAGATGATGTTGTAGGCTAATGATTAATACAAGGAGCCGCCATTTTAATAAAAAAATAATGATAAAATCACCCCACTAATTGGTTTTTTTTAAATGTCTAGTGGGGTATACGACGTCATTTTAAGAAAATTTTCTCCGCAAAAAAAAAGATGAGATATAGACTAACCAATCCTAAAATCGTCTGCTAAATGTCATAAATTTATTTAACGCATAACACAGTGGCATTGGCAACATTTAAACATAGTTATTTTTTTAATTACCTTTTCGCGATTTGCGTATTAGGATCTTTGTCCAAATTTTTGGAGATAGCTTTATTATTGAACGATTCTTTGGATTTCCCATCTTTATGAGGGGTAGACGCGTTCATATCGCGTTCATATTTCTTTATCAGGTCCGTGATATGCGCGAAACCTTTATTCTCCTCGTTCACCTCGTCGCGACATTTAGGGGCCTTCTCGCTATTATACGGTTTTGTTATGACGCGCGAATCCTCCTTATCGGTGTTTAAATTGGTCAACGAACGAGAATTGGTACCAGCGCCTCCCGATACTAAAATATTATTAGTCAAGTCGGCGACTAATAGAAATTCAGGAGCCATCATTTTATTCGGTAGAAGGCATTCGTTAGACTTGTCCCGATAATGTTTGATCGGATCAACGTGATTTATATCGTGAGACGAGCGACTAGTTTCTCTGTAATATCCGTTGTGAATCGAATTTTTGATCATTGCTTTGACGGGATAATCTTTTTCGATTCTCAAGGAACTGTTTGGGTATAGAATATTCGAGGGCTCAATCCTAAAATTTATCTCGGAATATTGGTTCAACAACGCGTTTTTGCCTCCTTTGGCGGAAATGGAGGAGAAAATAGAATTTCGCTTTTTCTTCCTGAATTTTTTTCTTTCCTCCGCTCCTACTCCTCCTCCACCGACGAAAGATAATATTCCCGATTTTTGTTCCTTTTGGAGGACAGATTTTTTAAATTTTTTTAACGGCGGATCGCTTTCTTCCCCCGAATCGAAGGGTTGCTGATACATCGTCACCTTGGCATTTTCATCTTTACTTTCGTTGAAAAGAATCGGCGTGCTACTGATAAGATCGAAGTTTTTGCGGCCATCAAGGGTGATGCCATTTAACGCCTCCGAAGAACGACTATTGATTTCGGTATTTTCAGTGTCGGACTTTGAATCCGCAGGAATATATTTGTTACGGTTGTCCTCCAGAATCTCGCTCGATCCACCGAATCTCCGATGAACGCGAATACCGTTGCCGATATCGTGTAATTTATAGGTATCACGGATGGGTTTAAAGGGCATGGACGATGCGGTGTCGTCCGAAGAGTTATTCAAAGATTTGGTTTGAATGATTAAATTTTGAGGTCTGGATGCCAGTATTTTTTCGTACTCCAAATCGTCCCGCCTGATGGCTTCCAAAATTTCGGAGTTTATGGCGTGGCCTATGCGACTAGGGGAGGATTTCCTAACATTATTCGCCATTTTATTCCCGCATCGTTCATATTTGGGCGGAGAATCCACGCTGGATGTCATGGAAAAAACGCCGGAATCTAAAGAGGTTGAAACAAACAAAAAATGCATATTAAATTTTTTTATACAGTCCTGAACTTTCCTATCCACTAGAAGCCTAGTTTGGTTCAGAGGTCCCTGGACCCCTTTAAATCTATGATGATCCTGAAGCTCACCCCCCCCCCCAGATGGTGCTATAAATATAAAATGGATGCTGAATATGTGACTAAAATATTATATTGACGCAAGTGCATCATATCTCCCGTGTTGGAGATCTATTGGCTGGCTTAAGATACCCATTTCAATTAGTTATCAAGCTATTTTTAACCAGTGCACGTATAGGACTTTTATTATTTTTTTTTTATTGAACCCACCATGATTTCTATTTTTCATATCTTCCAGCGGATACTTGTACCTCATTTCGGCTATGTTGAATTCTTCGTTGGCTATTTTCGCATTGTATAATTCTAGACAAAGTATTTTTAAATGTAAGTATATTCAAAGATTGGTAATTAAGTGCAGCCCGGTTTAGAGCGCACCCAACCCGGACTGATTAGTTTTGATAGGTCGGCAAGACTTTATTGAAAATCGGTCCAACTCCTGGTCCACGCTACGATTTAAACCGGACCGTTGACACCTATATTAATTAGTAACATAGCGAATAAAATAGAGATAATTTATACAAGAGCTGAAATTGTACGCACATACAACAGATGCGTTGCCACGAAAATCTAGGAGCCTCTCGCAATAAAGGCAAAAAATTCTTAATGACCCCTTCCTTATAATTTGCTCTATATATCCGTAAAAGTAAATAAAAGACTAGCCATTACACTTCAGGTGTATTAGTTATATAGGTTTAAACAGAGAGATAGTATCAAAAATCTTAGTTTTGTAAATTATAAGTAGTATTTATGAATAATAACTTTTTTTTTAGCGTTTACCTTTATCATTAAACTGTGTTCCATTAAATGAATGATTTGCCAAAGAAGCTTGATTTCCGTTTACATCATTATTATTGGTAGACTTCTTTTTGTTATTCTGTTATACCAAGAAGAAAATATGAATGCAAAATTTATATAATATTTATGTAATGAAAATAAATTTTTATATTTTTAAAATTACAATATTATAAAAATGTAGCAAAAAAAAATAAACATAAATTTCATGGAAAATATAAAAATTATAATTATTACTATATTAGTACCACATTATATAATTTTTGTGTTTTGGGCAAATTCAAAAAACACTTGTAAAAAAATAAAATTATAAAAATATACTAAAAATATGGTAATTCATCAGATGTTATTTATCAAAATTATACAGGAACAATAAAGTACGGAAGATTTATACAGCAAAATTTTTTAGATTCCTATCTATTTCCTTTGATTAATTTATAATTTAAAATATTCTTAAAATAATTCATCTTTTTTTTGGATTTAATACGAAGAAACTTTAAAAAATTAAACCATATCTTTCTCTAAAAGTAATTGTTATTCAAAGAAGATAAATTTTTTTGAATTATTTATGACTTATGAGTAGGTTATTATATTATAAAAGTCTTTATTTTCTCTCAAAAATTATCATATTATATTTTAGCTGTTAGAATATTTTATTACTAAAACGTTCTTCTTAATAGCCTTGGAGTTAGATTTCAAAAAAACAAATTAAATTGAAATTTAAAACTTTTATTTCTCTCTTTTTCTGAATTAACCTGGAAATTTTTTTCGCAAAAAATTTTGAAAAATAAGTGCCTTTTTTTTAATGATCTTTTTTGAGGAAAAAATTTTTTCAAAATAAATATATTATGGCAATAAATTAAAAAATGCATAATTTTTTAGATAATTATAAAAGGTGATTTGAGTTGATTATTTAATATTATAATATCATAATTATCTTCTCTCATTTTTTTTTACATATTGGGGCGGTCTTCAAAGCTTTTGAGATAGAAAATCAACAAACTTCAAAAAACTTTCATAAAAAAAATTAAGGAAATAAGGGGGCCTACATTTATAGTAAGCGCGAAATACAGAGATATCGCTCAAGGTATACGTAATTAATGACTAAAATAGAGACTAACTATATATTCGAAATACGGCTATATCGCCCAAGGGATCCATAATTTAAGGCTAAAACGATAGCATATCTTCAGAATTATGCATTTTAAAAATTCCTCATTGCTCGATCAACATGGCGAAATTGTGCTCTTGCGCTTACCATAAAAGAAGCCCAAAGCTTCTTCTTTTTTTTCTATCTCAAAAAAATAAAAACGTGTCCAAAACATTTTTTTTTGTCAATGTTTCAAAATATTAATGGGGTTTTATATGAACTGGGGTACACCGGTTTCATTCTTCTTTAGTATTAATGTATATATTTATTTTAATAATTTGAATTTACCATTTTTTCAATGGGTCTCTGGTCGTAATTTTCTTTAATCCTTGCTGGCATATCCCTCGTGGAAGATTCGAGAATACCCGAATTCTTAACGACCGGAGATACCCTCTGCACGACTGGGCTCAACGCCTTTTCTCCTGTTATATGAATCAGCGGATTGTTAGGAAATTTGTTCAGCCCGTCTTTCCGCTTGTATTTGAAGTACGCGCTACTATGTGGAACCGGTTCCTGCGAATATAATTGCGATTCTTTTCTGGCTCTATGATTCGATTCCCGATCGTTAATGTCGCCCATTAGGGTCGATAAAATTTCGATCCACCTGGAAGTGAATGTAAGATTAAAATAATAAATAATCTAGCGCATGAATTCATGATTTTAAGAGTTCTGAACTTAATTCTCTCTTTTAGGGAATTTCATCAACACAAACCCAATATAGTGATCGTCGATTTTCAAAAATGGGTCCGAATTAACCCCTGTCCGAAAATATCTTGGCTTTAAGTAGTTTCCCAAAAATCGATATATATTTGGTCCATGTTCTCAAAATGTCCAAAAATAAACAATTTACAATGTTTGAACCCCCGACATAATGTAGAAAAAATAAATTTCGGAATCTCTTTGGGGGGCCACTTTTTAAATTTGAAAAATATCTGATTTGATAGGAATTTTCCGGAATAAAACTTTTCCGACATGTCCGAAATACTAAAATCAAAATTTTTCGAATTTAAAAAATTTTCCTCAAATGATATAATATTAAGAGATACGAATTCTTCACGGACCCTATATCCCTGTTAAGATGTTATATAAAAATATATACTTTAAATATTCTTGTAGATTGTGAGTTTTGAGGTAAAACGTGTCCAATAAATCATCTAAATCCGAATTAAAATCCCGAGGTTTCTTATCTTGTGATAATATGTCGGGACCGATCGAGAATATGTATTCCCTTTTTCTTTGATTGGAATCGTTAACGTCCAGATATCTCGAGGACAAGGATATGTAACTTGGAGGGGGAGAATTTTCTAGCTTGAAGTTTTATATATAACATTTGATGTAAGAAATAACTTTATCTGGCTGGAAAATGAAATTTTAATTTATTAACCCGTCATGATAATTAATGCCAATCATTATGAAATAACTGGGTGATAATTATTTGTTAGAATCTCTAAAAGCTGATTATCGAATATAGCAACTTACTAAAACTAACATATGATAGATAACTTCCATAATTTAATATAATTTTAAAAAAAATTTACATAAAAAAACGCTACCCTTCTTCAATTAATTATTCATAAAAAAAAATTTCGACTCGGCTAGGATTTTTTTAAAAAGTTATAGGGCCGACCCGGGTATAATTGGCCCGAACCGGCATATCTAATGAGGTAAATACAATATAAAGATAATTTTTTATTACATTTTCGTCAAAAGTATACGCTAACTGTCCATTGTCGAATAAGGTGAAAAATCTTCTTTGCCATTTCTAAATTTGTCACCAAATTTTAAAATAAATTATAAATCAATTTAGTTATTTATTATTATTGTTTTTTTTAAAAAAAAATATATATATTATAAATTTTAATTTTCTGTTTTAAAAAATAGAGATATAAATTGTGAAATCAATGCTTTTTTGCGACAAAATTCGTAAAAAAAACAAACAAATAAATAAAAAATATATGTATATATATAAAAGTAAGACAAAAAATCTTTTATTTATAACTTTAAAAAATAAGAAAAAATGTGATTGCAATTCGATTTGAATTATGAAATTTTTTTTTTTTAAAAAATTAGATCTTATATTTTAATATATTGTCTTTTTTGATATTTAGGTTATATCAATATTTCAGTGAAAATTTTTATAATGAAATAAAATATTATAAAGTGTGATATGGGGGGTAATGTATAATAATTATTATTTTTTATTAGAAATACTTTATGATTTAAAAATTATTTTAAAAAAAAATAGTTATAAACTCCAAAAAAAGATTATTTATTAGAAGAATATTATGAAATGTTAGATTTTATTATTTTAACCAGGAAAAGTATTATGTTTATTCAAAAAAATTTGCACAAAATAAGTGGCCATGGTTTATGAATTACACATTAGAATATATAATGAGAAAAAGGTGAGTCTCAATTGAACACTATATAGTTTGGCATGGCTATGTGCTTTACCTCTCTCAAATCTTTAAAAACTTTGTAAGACTTGATTTTATCGTAATCGTATTTTAGCATCTATTAGAGTTAATCTACCATGGGAATTTCAGATAATTTCCCCCATTCATTTTGGTGATTTTTTTTAGTTTAAAAATTGATATAAATCAAGAGAAGTTGCTAAATTTCCTGAAATTCATTGGGTAAAGGTAGGCACCTACTCTGCGCATGCTCAAATATCGAAATTTAAAAAAACGCACGCTATAAATAATTTATTTTTAAAAAAGATTTGGTAAACCCTATAATTATATATATCGTGCAGGATAAGCCCTGAAATTTCCAGAGTTATATCAGTAATGCAATTCGTGATAAAATGTAGTTGCAATAATAAAGAGGGGTATACGAAGCTGAGGATACAGCCAAAAATCACACGGGATCTAAGTTCTCTAGAACTATCTATAGTAGACACAACCAAGATAGGTGGGACATCACGTGAGATAATCATGGAAATTGAAGGGAGGGGCTAGAGAAGAGGAGATATGATTTTAATAATTTAGTTTCCTTTCTTTGTTTTTGCTTATTTTGATTTGGTATGGGAGGGGGGGAGTGGAGGTAGGGAAATAAATTTTCATTGGCTTAAGGAATAGAAGAGTCCTTAGTAAACCGCGCCAACTTTTAATTTTTAATCAAAAAAAATAATAGATCCATTCGTTTTTGAAGAATAAATTTAGATCAAATCAAATATTCAATTATAATTAAAAATATAGAAAATTGAAAATAATAAAATTAAAAGACAATGTTAAATTGAATCTTCTTACCTTCCCCCATGGTTATAATTTTGTAGTAGTTTTGAGCCGATTTTTAAAAACGGCTAACTCAATATTTTAGCCAGAAAAATATTGCCTAAGCCTCGAGATTTCGCTAAAAGATGTCCAAACCATTGTTCCTTCTACAAACAAAATCTTCAGGCTTGCGTAATAGTATTCTGGATGAAATATTGAGTTAGCCGTTTTTAAAATTCGGCTCAAAAATGAACCATTTAACAACACTAGTTAAAAGTCACATCCTTAAAAAATAGAAGAATATTGCAAATTACTACTTTATAAAATTTATAATCATTTAATACACCATAATAGTTACGCTATTTATAAATTTTAATCAAAAGGATTTTATTTTAATAATAAAAAAATACAATTTAAATACAAAGAAATAATTGCAATAATAATTTTCATAAAAAATTTTGGCTAAACATTTATTGGAGACTTTAAGCAATAAAATTATTTCCAAATAATTTAATTAGTTTAAGAGCTTTTTTTTTAGTTTTGCTTATTGAAATGTAGAAAATAGAAACGACGACAAATGATGAAATATGAAAATACGTCCTTGCTAGCCATTTCGGAGGAAAATAAAATTTAGGTTATCATGCGACATAAAATGATATAAATCATGATTAATAAAACAACAAGATTTCAAATTGTCTAATATCACGACAAATATTCAAGAGCTTATACAATTATTCTAATAAATACGGCTAAAATATTTATGGGTCTTTTTTTCCCCATTTAAATGATCTTTCAGTGCACATAAATTCTAACACAATTTTAATCCATTTTTAAATTTTCAATAAATTTCACATGATTTTTTTATAATTATTTTCCATTATATTATTTTCAATAAATTTCACATGATTTTTTTATAATTGTTTTCCATTATATTATTTTCAAAGTATATATGGCGAAATTCCATGACAAATCAACATGAGTTTCAATTAACCCGATCCCCTCAGATTTTCCTAAAACTTTTTACTGGAGTTTGTATATAAGAATAATTAAGAAAAAAAATAACATTTTAGCCTCCAACTCCCAACAGCGACTGAGATACGGCCTTCTAAAGGTCTAAAAAATGGGACCTTTCGGGGAAAAATTCTCTCCCTTTAATTTTAAATATCTATAATTGAACTAAAAGTATCATTTAAATTCCTTCATATAGCTTTAATTTAATCGTAGGCCTTTAAAAATACTTAATGTTAGTTAAATATTGTTTAAAAAATTTTAAATGTCGAAAACCGGAAATGGTCATAAAATCAAATCGTTATTTTTTTTATTTCTCTCAATTTTTTTCCCCTCATGAATAGTTACAGAATTAATTAATAAAACTATGCAAAATTTTAAGTTGGGCCGAGTACAGGTTTAGGAGATATGGCATTTTAATTATTAATCAGTTGTAAAAAATTCGTATAATAAATATTTGATAAATCATTAATTGTGAAAATCATATTTTTTCCCCTCTTCAAAGTCAAATATTGTTTAATTAGTGAAGTTTGTCATCCGATCTTAGGTCTAGACCGGAGTCTCGGGTCAAATCGGACTAGGATCCTCAAATAAAAGACCGGTTTAGACGGTGGTTCTAAAAAAACGTCAAGGACCGATCTTTAATTTTTTTATTGAACTATTTTAAGTATTTTCGTTTTTTTCCCCAAATTTAATTTCTTTGTTTTATCATTATATTTAATAATAAAAGTAAATATCAAATCAAATATAAATAATAAATAATTTTTGACACACTTTATTATAGTCACCAAAATAATGAAATAATAAAATATAGAAATTTCTAAATATAATGATATCATATTTAAAATTTATAACCCAACCCGGCCCGAAATGTTATTTGCAGATCTCTTAGTATACAATACATATCTGCATTCGTTTTCTACTTTTTTTAGCGTTTAACGTTATTCTAAAGTCAAATAAATTTTTTTATAATATAAAACCAAAAGAGAAGCTGAATAATTAATATTTTTTATGAAATATTTAAGTTTTTCATCCCCTATTCTTTTGATTACGAGAATATATATATAATATATGTTAACATTTTTTTTAAATTAAATTTTAAAACTTTAAAAAATTTTATTTAAAAATATATATTAAAACAGAAAATTTAATCATGTTATTATAATTAAATTTATATATAAAAAAAATTTTAAAAATATAAATAAAATATCTTATGAGAACATTCCTTCAACCCATCTCAGCAAATCTAATTAACAAAGGAAAACCACAATGCTTTTGAATCTCCCTAAATTTCTATAATATATACTTGGTAATAATTAAGATGCCGGTTTATAAAATAAAAAAATGTAATTAATACTTTTATCCTGATTAAAAATATATAATAGTGGTTTGTATTAAGAAATGCAATGTTTTAAGCAAAAATGTGCAATCAGTGTATTAGAGCCCATTTCTCCATCATTATATATTTATTTTTTCTTTCTTTCTTTCTTTCTTCCTTCCTTTCTTTCTTTCTTTCTTTCTTTCTTTCTTTCTTTCTTTCTTTCTTTCTTTCTTTCTTTCTTTCTTTCTTTCTTTCTTTCTTTCTTTCTTTCTTTCTTTCTTTCTTTCTTTCTTTCTTTCTTTCTTTCTTTCTTTCTTTCTTTCTTTTTTATCAATGAAAGGTAAGTGTGGTCAACTTTAGAAAGCATCTAAATTTGGGAAGATTGTAATATTTTTTTGAGCAAATTTGACTTTAATTTTCTTAAAATGAATTTGATTGTAATGGTAAGTAAAAATCAGACTGCCAACCTCAAGGAAAAGATTTTTTTTTTTAAATGTTTTATTATAATTATACTATTAAGTAGAGTATAGTAGGGGTAATGGCTACTAAAATTGGATAATTTGCCTCAATATTCAAGTTCTTATAGAAAAAAAAATCTGCTAAGCATTGAGGTCTCAGTTAACTTATTTCGCAGCTAAAAATATTATGATTTATTGCCTAACGAACGTATATAAATAAAAATTATATGGCCTAATCTTATAATTATTCAAACGCGTGAACGATGTTCTCGATGCCCCTATTATAAACTGTCTATTCGTAATTAAAAATGTTGGTGTATTTTGTCAGCCAAATTAAATGTCTATAAATATATTTTCGAAAATATTTTCCGATTATGAATTGTTCATTTTTTATATTAAATAATTAAACAAAAAATTCTATCCTCCCCTCCCCCTCCAAAAAAATATTCTGTTCCTTGGATAATTTATCCTTCAAAGATTCTGTTTCCCCTTGACAAATTTATCCTTCGAACAGGTTTTTTTTAATAAAAAATAAAAGAAATTTAAAATACAATTTAAAACTTACGTTTCTACGGTTTTGATTGAATAAGCTTTTATCATGCGTGATAAAAAGATAGCCGGATATTAAAATCTTTCCTTGAGATTCCTTGTAAAATGAAATAATAAAATATATGCCTAATTTATATGAAAAAAATGAAAGAAAATTCGAGTTATAGTAAATATTTGATTTCCATTTAGAAAAATATCATTGAAATTGTTATTTTTTTAAAAAAAAATTTAAATTCGATAATAAAAAATTTAAAATATTTTTAAAACTCATTAAAAAATATATATTTAGATAGATATGCAATCTCCATTTATTCTATCTAGTATATATTATAAATATGAAACATTCTTAGAAAATATGAAAATAAAGTAAAATTTGAAAGCAATTTTAACTAGTTATTTAAAAATAATTAGTTTAAAGTGATTCCTTAAATTAGCGTCTAAAGCAACTGAACTACATACATTACTATAAAAACATCGATTTTATTTGTATTGTTAGTTTAAGTTATAACTATATGTGGTTACTGGCAAATATAAACAATAAAAATGTCAAAAAAACGTCTTCGTTTAAAATCGTCAACACCAAACGTTTAAATTCTAACGCTATTCTAATAATTATTTCTGTTAGGTTAACAATAAAACTATGTTTAAAAAAATTAAAAGTAGGAGGAAGAAGAATATTCTATAACAAGTACAATGATAATATATATATATAATATGAAAAAAATTTAACTAAAAATATATTGAAATCAAATTTTAAATTAATATTTTAAAATTTAAATCTTTTCAAACAATTTCATTTCTTCTAAGCAACCTCTCGAAAATAAATTTAATGTCATAATTCTAATTCTTTTTGTTTAATTGTCAAATTTTCGTATTTTAGAAATTCTATAAGACAAATGGCTAAAATTTGTGTTTATTTATATCTACTTAGAAACAATAGACAATTCATCTTGATGATAGAATATATCAAATTCTTTTTTTTAAAAAATTCGAAAAATTTTAAAACTTCTTCGCAAATTTTAAAATTTTAAATCGGGTATTAAATTTTTAAAATTTACAAAATTTTCTAGAATTATATTTTGTTTGGGACACGTTTTTATTTTCATATTTAAAATGGCTTATTTATTTATTTTCAAATTAAAGTTTCAAAAGTTTGTGAATTTAATATTTTTTTTGATATTTTTGGGACACAGTCTTAGGAAATAAATTGAAAGAGTTAATTTTTAATTTTTTTAAAATTGTGGATGAAATATATTTAAAAATTAAAAATAGATAAAACTGATGTATAGGGAGTTAGAATTAAAGGTTTAGAGAGAGAGGGATTTTTGGTAAATTTGAAGGTTTGAGAAGATATCGGTTAAGGTTAATTCAGTCGAAAAATCATGCGTTGGATCTTTGAAATTCCATTAGCTTATCGTATCCACAATTCCCTCTTCGAAACCATTTACAAAATATACAGCAAATGTTATTCTAAAAAAAATGGCCAAATTTTACCCGGATATGGTCATAGATCTTAGAAATCCGTGATCGACCTTTTAAAAAACTGGGGTAGTTTAATGTTGAGCATTATTTATTATCACCTTGAGATAGTTTTAAAAAAATGATTATCTGACAAGAAGGGTAAATATTCTGGCCAACACCGAAGATATCCTATTGAAAGTTTACAGAATATCCTTTTATAAATTCACCCTACTACTAGTAGGAAAACATCAAGAAAATTATAGAAGATATTTATATATGGAATTCCAGGGATGTGAACCCGAACCCTGGTTCAAAAATTTCATTTAATGAAAATTTTGATAACAGGAACTTAACCGATTTCCTAAGAGGGGTCCGACCCTGCTAGGTCCATTTTACCCAGGGTTTAAACCTTAAATCCGTCTCTGTTTGTTCTGTGGTTTCAAAATGCCCAACCAAATAATTTTAAATTTCCTGAACCAGGGTTCGGGCTCACATCCCTGTGGAATTCTATTATCCCGGAATTTCATAAATTCAATGCCCGATATAAAATAAACGCCATTTATAAAAATTGAAAGGGCGATGTAACCAAATATTAAATTCAAAAAGACAATTTATTTGCGAATTGATAAATGAAAATGACCCTAATTTATAAAACGCCTTTACAATTTAATTTTTTATCGTAAACATGCAGAGGTACCTTTTCGACCCGGTCCGGGTTTCATATATTTTTTAAAAAAATTAAAATATGGCCCCGGCCCTATAATTTTATATTCTTAAATATAATTATATAATAATAAATAAATATAATTATTTAAAAATGATTTAATATATTGAGTATATATTACTATTAATTTTTTCGAAAATTAAAAATGCGTAAATTATTTTAAAAAAATGGCCAATAAATATATATGAAATGCATACCTTTCAACCGACGCTAGGTCGGGTCGGACAACAGAATCCCTAGTTAACGTTTAAGATAAAAAAATTATTAATTTTATTTAAATGCTTTACTCTTGATTCATATTATACCATATATATATTTTTTTTATCGTATTATTAGTCTTCTACTCTACTCCTCTCGTCCCACCTCCTACTTATATACTTATTATTTTTGCCTTTATTAATTCACTTTGTCACCATGTAAATTGCATTATTCTCATTCTTCGCTCACCTTTACTTAAATAGACAAATCTTATATTTTTATAATAATGACAAACCACATTTTATTAAGGTGAAACATTAGTAATAACAGTAGTTTAAAAAAAAATTATTTTTTTTCAAATGAAACGATGATTTAAACAAAAAAAAAATCTTGGCTATCTTCTTTTACAATTTGACTTATAATATAAAATGTGACATTAATTTTTATTTATATATTATTTTTAAATGATATTCGTTATGCGGTATTTATTAGCCAATGCGTTAAGGTTAACGACATAGTAAAACATTTTAACTCCTCTTTCCTTTTTTTTACGATGTTTTGTCATATAAGTATTATAACATGGAAAAGAAGAAAAAGAAATGGTATATTAACAATTATGTAAAGAAAAAAAAGGTTTAATATAATATCTTAATAATTTAACTTAACATGAGTGCGATTTGAGTCGATTTTTAATAACGGCCAATATTTTGTATCAAAATATATTACGCAAGCCTAAAGATTCTGCTCAAAGATGGAACAAAGGTTTGGACATCTATCGGCGAAATCGCAAGGTATTTCTGGCCAAAATTATTGAGTTGTTTTTAAAATCGGCTCAAATCGAGCTGTTTAACAAAACCAAATTCTTATAAATAATAGAATTTTACTATTTCTAATTCGGTTTGTATAATTAGGAATAGTAAAACTAATTATGAATAATTCATTATTCGATCGAATAGGCCTAACTTTCTATTCACAGTTTTGACGAAGGCTAAGGGAACCAGTAGCAGTAAATTTAAAAAATTGTTCTAACTTTGCATAGGTCGGGATGGGTTGAAATGTCGTGCTTTTCCAGGTTCCGGAAACAATTTTGACATTTTTTGGTGCTGAAAACGTTGGGCGAGAATTCCCGGCAAATCAAAGCGCTGGGCATTAATGGCTCAAATAATTTATCTTCTAGAATCTAATCTTCGTTCGTTTTCGTAATATCTGGAAAATCGAAAAAGTGATTCCTATTATAAAATTAATTAATCGATTATTATTATAAAATAATTTTTTTTAAAAAAAATATTATAAAATGTTGGTTTCTGTACTAATAAAGAGTGTTATTTATTTATGTTATACATCATTTCGGGATATGAAATCCATTGGGATTATCAGTGTTAAGCTACTAAGTAGCACGCTATTTCAGAAAAGTAGCGCGCATAGTCTTGAAGAAATTATAAGCTTATTAAACGGTTCGATTTGAGCCGATTTAAAAAACGGCGAATCAATATTTTCGCAATGCACCATTAAATTTAATATATATATATAAATCAACAAATATATTAATTTAAGTATTTTTAGATTTAATCTAAAGGATTTTCAATAGTATTATTAATTATTCCATAAAAATATCCATAGTAGGTGGCGTTTTTGATCTAGCTAGGGTTAGTCTAAAATTATAATAGTAATAGTTAGAATAAAAATATAACAAGAAATAAGTGAATGTACATGTTTGCCAACTATCCAGACCATCACCCTTTAACATTTTATCTATTGAATCAATTTCTCTCAAAATTGGTGAAAGGATTGAAATAACTATTTTTTTAGCATGTTTTGATAAAATTTATATATATATAAATAGATGAGTAGTTACTTTTAAGCAAGTTTAACATCTAGATTATAATTTATAAATATCCTCATTAAATAGATGAGTCTGATGATAAAAAGTAAATTTTAATTTTTAAACATATAATATAATTCTTGAATAATATTTTATGGCCAGTTGAAACATGCCACGTTTATACTAAGCTAAGAAAATCAACTTTCTCATAACTCAATCTAACTCAAAAACTATTATAGATTGAACTTTAATTCTAATTTCATTTTAATGATTAAGGATTGGACTATACATTGATATTAAATTTGTTTGATATATAACTTTCAAATATATCCTCGATGAAGCTACTAGTCTTGCTTGACGATAAATACTTCCGGAAAATCTTACAGTGAAATTTATACCCCTATTAATTTTTTTTTATCGAGATTAAAATATTTTGCAAAGGAAATTCTATTTAATCATCAATTTTCAGAGGAATCGGTATGATATTATCTTCAATATCAATCTCTTAATCGTTGACATTTCAATGCAAATTTTTAAATATAAATTTCAATATTAAATTAAATAAAAATATTATGATTTAAATAATATTTTATAAATTTTTTAGGTGTATTTATTATATAAAATTGGCGCTAATTCGTTACTTTTCTAAATTAGTAGCGAGCTACCTCTATCGTTATTTTTTAAAGTAGCGCGCTAAAGCTACCACTAGTTTTACAACACTGGTGGGTTATACCTATTAAAATATGAATCGAATAATTGGTTTATACGTATTCGTAATAAACCAAATCGATTTAATTTGTCTAATATTCGATTTAAAAAATTAAATTATTTTAAAAAATATTTTTCAAAAATTGAAAATAGGAATTGTTTTTAATATTTAAATAAGTTGAATTATAAGAAGTGGAAATAAAGTTTAAAAAAGAATAAAAAGTTTTTTTTAAAGTAACATGTTAAATAATTAAAGAAAATAATTAATGAATAATTTTGAATATTGACAAATTATTTCGAATAATTCGATCGAAAAAAATATTCGACAGATGACACATTTTCCCTATTAGTATCCGGTTCAAATTTTTAAATAGAATACGAATCGGATAATATCGAATATCGAATACCGAATATCAAATAATTTGTTTTTTAGTTTAGAAATGCATTTTTTTGAATTAATTACTATAAATAATATGACAAAATATTATTTTATATTTATTTATGCATTTTTTGAATTAATTATTATAAATAAATATGACAAAATATTTTTTTATTTTATTTTTTTATTATAAAATTTTTCATTTTAGTTTTAAATGATAATTGGAAAACTAATTAAATATATTCTTTATAATTCATAAAAAAAAAATAAAAGAAAGAAGTAATATAAGTTGTCTTGTCTCTAAATATAAGATTTGATGACATGACAACAATACAATTATTCAATTTCTTGTCTAGGTCAAAAATCTTCGAAAATTTTTTTGAATGGCATAAGGTCGAAATGATTAATAACTAAAGCCAAACTTTATACGATATTATTATTAATTATTTTAAGCGCCACTTATAACTTCAAAAATAGTTTTGTTATCTCTTTTCTGTCATCTTCTTTATTTTATAATTCTTTTGACTAAATGAATGAATGAATGGATAAATGGATAAATGAATGAACGAATGAATGAATGCTAATTATTTGAAACAAAACTTACAGGTCAAATATACGAGGAATGATTTATATAAGAGATAAAAAATCATTTGAAATAATAAATTTAAAAAATTTAATTTTCCTTTGATAACTTTTTTAAAAAAAACCGTTTGTAATTTTTGTAAATTATAATAATCTGTGAGAGGAGGTCAAACGTCGTTCCCCGTCCCATCATCGTATTAAGGACATGTCGCATCAAAGACGGAAAAGAAGATGTGTCTATTAAAGTAAGACGACATTTAACCTTCTCCCCATTCGTGTCTTTTCTATCCACTGAAAAAATACTATAATTTTGTAGAATTATAAGAAAAAATAATCTATAAAAAATAGCAAAAAATTTATTTTTTAAAAATATAAAATTTTTAAGTGTTCACCTTGTTATTTATATAAATTTTAAAATTTTACAAATATATTAGCTTGTAAAAATCAAAATAAAACAAAATAAGTTTATTACTTTTATATATTGTGTATATGTATATAAAATTGAATATTTTTTTAATTCAACCTTTCCTTCCTTCCTATCGTAATAGTGGAAAACGTCTATTTCTTTTAATATATAAAATAGTTAAATACAGTTTTTAAAGCCCTCGTTACACCTAAAGGTACAAAAATTTCGTATCCGATCATACCTTTGCGAATGATATTACCATGAGAGAAGTATTAACAGCTGATTCAACAAATAGTAATTTCTTCTGAGTCTCGTTGGCCCCTACCACAAATATCATTAAATTATGGTGAGGAGAGAGATACATCCATATTTGGTGAAATGTTTCAATCTAGAGTATTCCATAATAGTAACCCTCCCCCCCCCCAATCCCATAGGTATTTTGTAAATTATTTTAAATTCAATTTTTTCATTATAATTTACTAATTTAATATATGCCTTGTCAAACAAAAAACATAAATGCGTTGTAACAATCATTGCAAGAAGAGACAAATGGCTGAATTAGACAGTAATCGTAGATATTTGTATCGAAGACATAAAATAATTTTTTATCTTGTACCTTTTTTAAACTATTCGAAAAGATCTTATCTTAGTATCTTAAAGTATCCGTATCTTTATCAACTTTGTAGTCAAAAAGATACAGATACTTTAAAAATAAAATAAATTAATTATTTTAAATACTTTTAAAATAATATCATTTTAAAATTTAAATTAAAAAATTTAATCCGAATTTAAATATTTTAAGATAGTGTAATGATATATGACTTTGGTCGTCATGTAGCAATTTGTTAAATAACTACCATATTTTAATTACTCCAAAAATTATGAACCAAGTTATATAGAAGATATAATTATCTGAAAGTGAAAACAATGTACACAAGGAAAAAATACAATTGTAAATATAAATTAAGCATATTATGGGGATTTTTTTTAAAAGTCAACCCAACATAAACATGCCAGTACCAATAATATAATTACTGCAGATTGTAAGTGACCCTACAGACTCGTTTATCTAATTTCTTCAAGCATTTAAAAGTATAATATATTATTCTATTAAAAATCACATTTATAATGATATTCAATATCATATCATTTCATTTGTTAAATGTAGAAGTTTTTTTATAATAAATTTCTATATTAATGATTGATAATGAAGTGATAATGAATGACAATGATATGTAAAAAAAAAAATTATCTAGAATTGAAAAGAATAAGGGAAAAAAGAATATTGATAAAATATATTAAAAATAAAAGAATAAATACTAAAAAAAAATTTCTAATTTAAAATATTTTAATTAATTTTGTTTCACTGATAAAGATATCATCTTAGAATCATATAAAAATTTCACGAATCATCATAATTTATTACACAAACAGAAGAAACCAAAGGAAAACTGACAAAAACTTTAACTCAAAAAACCCTAGAGTAATGTTGAAAAACGACTAACTCAATATTTTCGCCAGAAAAATATTCACTAAGCCTCGAAATTTTGACACTATATGTCTAGACCTTGGCTACTTCTATGAGTAAAATTTTCAGGCTTGCATAATATTTTTCCGGATAAAAAATGAGTTAGCCGTTTTTAAAAATCGGCTCAAAACGAGCCTTTTAACAACACTATCCTAGAGTCTTCAAAAATAAAAAAAAGAAGAAAACACTATCTCAGGGAAAATTTAATAATCTATTAACTTTGTTCGTTGTTATAAGAAATGTATCTATTATCTATAATTAAACCTACATTTTTGGCTTTGATTATTTAAAGTTTTTTTTTAAAAAAGTATCTTATACCTTAAATACTTTCTTTTTTCTTTTAAAATAGATGAAGATTTCATCAAAACACCTCTGCCATATGATTATATTCCCCTTTAAAAAGTCATAAAATTTAGGGGGAGAAAAAATGTTTTAACCACGTTTTTAATTTTTCTTATTTAAAAAAAGGTTTATTTCGCGTTTGCTATTAAAATAAAATTAATTTATTGATATTTTAGAAATGCAGTCAAAAACTCTTAAACAAATATTAAAAGAAGAAACATAAGTTCAATGTAATATTAAAATAATTTTTTTATATTTTAAAAATATACTGAAAAAAATATATATTAAAATCAAATAAAAATAATGGTTTTTATTTATTTTGCGGGTAAAATAAAACTCATACACTTATAAGATATATGGGTTTAGTGCTGTTAAACGGCTCGTTTTGAGCCGATTTTTAAAAACGGCTAACTTAATATTTCATCCAGAAAAATATTAAGCAAGCCCGAAGATTTCATTTAGTAAAAAAAATTAATTCTCATGCATGCTGGACCATTCAATTAGTAGCTTCATTATAGGGGAGGGGGCCGCACAGGGGCTCTATTTCCTTGAAAAATATTAAGGCCCTTTGGGAAAAAATTTTAACGCCCTAAAAAAGGTCATTTATAAGAAAATGCTAACTAAAAAAATTTTTTTGAGCCCCTTAGTTTGTGATACCCCTTGTTCTCAGTCGTTTTTGACCATGATAGTAACATATGTATTTATAAGTTTTAAGTAGGAAAATGAGTTAATAATGTTATTTGTTAAACAGATAGGAGATATAATTTTTATATAATCTATTCATAAAGATTTGAGCCGATTTTTTAAAAACGGCTAATTCAATAATTTATTTCCTAGAGATTTCGTTGATAGCTGTCCAAGCCTTTGTGTCATCTATAAACAAAATCTTCAGGCTTGAGTAATTCTTTTCTGATAAAATATTGAGATAGTCGTTTTTAAGAATCGAATCGAACCGTTTAACAACACTAGGTAAAGTGCGCATGTATAATAATTTATTTTACATCAACACAACCACACCACCCTCTTCAACTCCATTATAAATACTCTAATGGATGGTAATTAGATACAAAAATTATAAATAACATAAATCGTCCAGGTCTTCATAAAGGCAAACATACTTTCAGCTCTAGAACCAACAGGGATAAACCTAAGGAATAATAAATGCCCTAATAACCCTAATTACTTGGTAGTTGGGCCAGCCCATTCTCTTGAAACTACTCATAAGTAAATTTATTCTCAACATCTAATAATAACAAACCATTTTATAGAAATTGCTGAATCTATTAAATATTAAAATAACTCTTTTCTTTCAAACCATAATTTTATTCCTTTAAATTATAACTATTCTGTGGATAATTTTTGAACGCCTTCCTCAAAATTATTAAAATATAATCGATAGCAAAAAATTATTTCCCACAACACCGGGAACAGTAAAGCTTTTATATTCGACAGAAATCTTAGAGTATGCCGGACAAATGTAATCCCAACCACGCCCATTAGATAATTTTTTTTTTAAACTTATTAAATCTTTTTTAAAGATCTCTTTGTTCAGGGGAAGAAGGAGAAACTATATTGCCCACTTGAACATTTTGTTTAATAGAAAAAAAAGGATCGTTTTGACTGAGTAAAAATGATATTCATTATGATAATAGGGATTATTTAAATCAGGCAAAAAATTTATAAAATGGGATGGAAATATAAAATAAGTATTTTTTAAGGGACAAAATTGATGATATTTCAAAATTTTAACAACAAAAAACTTTAAAAACTAAAATAATTAATAAAAATTCTTTATTATACTTTTTTTCCCTCATTTTCCTATTCCTAATATACAGTATAATTTACCGCATTTTAATTTCAGAATTTACAAAATTTATAAATTAATGATAAAGTTTCTTTTTTATTATTTCTTTATGAAGTAGTATCTTTATCTTACCTTTTTTACACAAAAAAATATAGATAAATATCAATAATAAAATAAAAATTATTTATTATTAATTATAAATTTTGAAAGTTATTAAAGAAAGAAAAGGTGTAATACTAATATCTGATAAAATAAAGTAATAAAAATAATAATTTATACAAAAAAGAAATTCAATATATATTTTTTTGCTACCTTTAATAATTTTGAATAGAAATAAAAATGATTATTAAAAGTCTCCCCTAAAGTGTCATGTGAAGATTTATTTCGATATAGTGTCAAAATTAATTAATAATAAATATTAAAATTTTATTGAGATCTTATTAAAAGATTATTAATTATCTCTCACTTAAGAGAGTTAATTTAACTGTAAAAACAAAAATGAGAAATATATATATTTTATATAAAGTAAAAAAAAAATTTTTTTTTGTAAAATGATAATTTTATAATAATTTATATTATAAAAAAAGTTATCTAGCTTCTTTGAAGGACATTTGATATTTTTTTTCTTATTTAAGTTTATTATATATAATTTTTTTATTAAAAAAAAAAATTTAATAATAATAATAATAATATTTTTTTTTATACATAAATGATTATAAATGAAGTAATGCATTATAATTGTGAATTTTTTTGTTTCAAATATAAATTAATTAGGTAATGTTTTAGGGAAACCATTTTTTTGATTTGCTGTGTCGTGTTCGGACGACAATTCGAAAATATTTTAATATTCATTTTAAGTTCGCGTGAAAAAAAATGTATGCGCCTCTTGTACGTTTAGACATATCTAAGTTTGTTTTATAGGGGGTGTCAGGGGAAGGAGACACTATTAGGTGCGGTTTTCTGCCATAAATTTTATTGGAGAAAGGAGGGTAGTCATAACGACTATAGTTCAAAATTTTTAGAAAATAATGCTTCTTTCTTTCTGGGGTATAGAGAAATTTTTTATTAGATTTTAAAATGATATTTACGGAAACTGCACAATTTCTGATGGGATAGGAAATTTAGCACTTTCTCATCCCTTGCTTAACTAGTATGCTCTAAGTATATTGTTAATTAACCATACTCGATCATAAACCCACATTCATTTGGAAGATTTTGTCGTAAAAATTCAGTCTAAAACATAGAATATTGAAATTAAGGTGCTACTTCGAGGTTAAATCTCATAAAATTAATTGCACTACAAAATCGTTTTATTAGGTAAAAACACCTTTTTATTAGTAATTTGTTAAATATAAAATAGTGCAAGGGGCCAAAAATAATTATCATTATTTAATATAGCCGCATGTTATAAACGCCCCATTTATCTCACAATATATAGAGTAGCCAAGGTGCGGCTTTGTATCGTTAATACATATTTTAAGAAATTTCAAATGCCATCGTCTAGTAATTTTCAATAACTTTATAATGAATTTCTGACCATTTGTTTTGGTAAGATATTTTGATATTAATTGTTTTTTTTTCTAAATGGGAAGTTTTATTCTTTTCTTATTTACCTTGAGAATTTAAATAAATTGTTTTGTTCTAATCACACAGAAATGATTAGAACATCCTGAGAACTAGTGTTGTAACGGCTCGTTTTGAGCCGCTTTCGAAAACGGCCAACTATATATTTAAGCCAGAAATTTTTTTAGTAAGACCTCCATTCGCTAATAGTTGACTAGACTTTTGTACGACCTATGAGCAAAATCTTTGGGCTTGCGTAATTCTTTCCGGTTAAAATACTGAAAGCCGTTTTTAAAAATCGGCTCAAAATACGTTTAACAACACTGCTGAGAACACTGACCCTCCAAAAAAATGTTTAATGGAGAGCTCTTTAAAATAAAAAAACTTATTTATATGATCAAAATTCTCGCTCCTTGGAGTAAACATTATTTTTTATTTTATTTTTTTTCGGAATTTGTTTAAGACCGAACCTTCCCGGTCACCCAAGACTGGTATCGGGTAAGGCTTCGGGCCTGCCTGTAAGACTATAACCTTAGCCCCAATATTTAATTTTTTGAATGTTCTAATTGCGCAACGGTGCCCTACTTGCAATTTTAATAGAGTATATTTATATAGCTAAAATCTTAAATTTTTTTTCAAAATAATAATAATAATGAATCTACTCTTTTAACGCGATAAGCTCAGATCTTGAATAATGGGAAAAGGTGATAATAACTCTGTATTCATTTTATTCATCATCGCATAAACTTAACTTGATATTTTTAAATTTTTGTGGTAAATTACCTTCGTGTTGCATGCTAACAATTTTATTTTATTATTATAATATATGAACTTTTTTGGTATTAATAAAAAAAATAGAAGGATTTATTTTATAGATTTAATTATAAATTATCATTGCAGTATTTAAAATTTTCTTCTTCTTCCCCCCATTCCCCTTCCATATATTCTACCTTTTGAATTTGTTCATTATTATTTTATTAATTTTTTTTTGTTTAAAAAAATGAGATATATTTAATATAATTTAATATTTCATTTGGATTATTTTTTAAAATATTTTTAAGTTCACATACTTATTAAATATAAATTGTTATAAACGAAAATTTTGAGAGAACATGAATTAGCGCTTATAAATATTTTTTTCTTAAAGTTATATGCCACCGCCAATCTGGGTAATCAATCAGGTAATAATGTGTAAATCCTATAAGATCTTTTGAAATTCTTAGAGTAGTTATTTACGCGCTCCGACAAAATCAAATTTATATATATATAGTATAAACGTGACCGATTTTATACAAAAAAATCAGACTAAAATAAGCCTTAATTTTCTATTGGTAGATCATATCCAAATTATTTGCGGTATAAATAACAATATCATTTAACACAAATGACTTTGGGTTTTATGCTCAAGGTTTACTTTTGTGCATATATATGAGCCAAAAAATTCAAATTGAAATTTTTAGACATAATTATGGGTCCTTTTTGGGGAACTTTTTATTAATTACATAGTTTTTTTAATTTTTATTTTTTACAGTGTTTTATAGGAAACAAATTAGCAAAATACGAGAATGAGGTTAATTATTTTAAAATTGTGTCAAGTGGTATTGTAGCCTGATCACCGATGGGAGAAATCGGTTAATATTAATAATTCAAGAATTAGGCAAGGCTAAGGAGTTTGACAAATCGTTTAATCAGCTGTACTATAACGTTATGGTAATAAATATAAATAAAATATGTAAATAATTTTATTAATATAAATATATAATCATTAAGGCTAGGTTTAGTGCTGAGTAACTCACCACTCGGACTATTAGCCGAACTCTTTAACCGATGTATAATTTTTTTCCTAATAATCTTAAATGATTTTTTCGACCAAGCCTAATGAGGCGTAGTCCAAGTTATTACCCGCCCGCCAAACTGGATTCGGGCTGGAGTGGAAGGGGACACTCTCTACCCTTGAAAATAGGCTTCTTGTGCCCTTTCCTGTAAAATTTCCGACTGTCTATTTATTTTAACTTTAATTATTATAATATAAATAAAATAAAAATTTTAAAATATTAAAGTTTTATATAAAAACAAACTTCATATATTATTATTTTTTAAATGAACCATATATAGTTATTTTATTCCGAATATTTAACTTTAATAATAAAATTCAATGCTGTCCCATTTACATTGCCTTAAAATTGAGAACTTAAAAGGGTAGTACGGTATATAAATATAATATATAAGGATAGATAGATTATGGCAGAGAATTAAAGAATATAGTTAGGTAATGGTTAAATTTCGTCAAATTCGCCTCAATGTTCAAGCGCCTGCCGGAGAAAATCCGTTAATATTAAGGACGTTTTAATTTATATTAGTTTCTTCCAAATTTGAGCTGCTATCTTTTTAAGATAACCACCCCGAGGCCAAAGTAATAGTTTTTTCAGCTAGAAACCTGGTATAACCGATTTTTTAACGGGCTAAAAATATAGTATAATGCCCATATGTATAAAAGAATTTTAAAAAAATTCCTCCAAATTTTGGGCAAAACTGTTCAAAAAATCTAAAGAATACGGTTCGGTTTATGATTATCAAAAAGTTCATTTAGGATTTATAAAATCTTCCCCTATAAATAGTTACTTATCTTTCTTGTTTAGGCTAATAAAAATTGTATATTTTTAAAATTGTACCTATTTCTGCCGAACATTAACATCAGTTTATACCCCAAACCCCTCAGAACTAATCTGTCTCCCGAGGAAGGTCTAAGATCGAATGGCCTTACTACAATCCCATGGGGAGTCAGGAAAATATTTTAATATGTGGATTACGCCATTCCTTTCAAATATCAGCCCTTCTTTTAGCCAAACTCCCCCAAAAATTAACAAATATAACAATATTAATTTTAAAAAAAATTCAGCTCTATAGTAATAACAAGCAACAAATGACTATTTTAATCCTGTTTATTTTAATAAATAATGATCTCAAAATTAAACACTTTTCATATAAGACTATGGTTCCTTTTTGGGAACATAATTACCAATTCTTACTATTTTTCTTTTTATCCTTTAGATATTCCTATAGTTTATAATGATTATATATATTATTATTTTTAAAAAAAATATATAGATATTTATTTTATAAAAATATTGCTATCGTAAAAAAGATTACAATCTTATTAAAATAAAATAACTTGTTTCGGCATATGCCAACGAGATAATAAACGAAATTCAAAAAAACGAACGAAAGAAATCACCACCCAAAAGAATTGTGAAAATCTACAAAAACCCTCATAGAGTGTAAACCGCCTTAAAAAAAATTGTAAGTATAAGTTTTTCTACAACCCGGCCCGAAATCTTCAAAGATCAATCACCCAAGCCGACCTAGTCTGGCACACCAAGTCTGGCACACCAATTTTAAAGGTTAAAGTTAAATAAATTAATATATATTTATATATAATTTTTTTATTTTAAAATAGTAAATAATAATAAAATAGCAGTAGTTAGATTTCTGAAAAGTTTGGCCCATAGATATGATTGAGCGAAAAACGAAAAGATTCATCATCAAATAATTTTTTTTACCTTTATATTTTCCAAATAATATATCGAATCATAATTTGAATTTCACGTATATAATATATTTTTTTTTAAATTTTATTAAAATGTTTTTCAATTTATAATAAAAAATTATATTAAATTTTATATATTAATTTATAATTTATATCCTTTATTATTATACTATTTTATTGATAATTTTTTTAATACCCTTTTAAAATTATTTTATAAACTTCTTTTGATATAAAATGTAAATATTTTTTAAGATTAAAGTAAATACAAATATACCTAACCTACACCTTTATAATATAATATAAATAAATACAAAATCCAAATTTATTTTTTTTTGTAAATTTGAGAAGATATCTAAT